GGGGCCTGGACTCAGGCCTCCCAGCCTTCAACATCAGATCCAGACTAACCGGCCCTGACCTGAACCAGAACACCTCCTAACAGACCCGGACCTGTGGTTCTGGTTCTCCCAGCTGCTACACGTCCGTCTATAAAGTGGGTCACGGACCGTCAGGCTTTGACACGGACAGAAAGACGACAAAACGCACAGACAGTGAAGTAAAGAAGAAGAAGAAGAAGAAAAAAAACCGCCCCACCTTGACCAGGGCCCGGGTCGCTGCTCCGACCATCGGAGGTGACGGTGCAGAACCGACTCCTCCAGGATCCTCCTTCTCCTGGACCCTCAGCGGGGTGTGTCGCCCTCTGACGATCGGCCTGGTTCCACCATTTAACTCGGTCTGGTTCGGCCTGGTGCTTCACAGAATGTGGAAATGCTGAGGCCACTTAAGAAGTGACAGCAGCAGCAGCAGCAGCAGAAGAAGAAGAAGAAGAAAAGCTGCGCAAGAAAAGACTTCAGTCTCTTTACACAACTCCCTCTCTCTCTCTCTCTCTCTCTCTCTCGCTCTCTCTCTGCCCCTCTCTCACTCACACACCCGGCTTCCCACTCCGATCAGCTGGCAGCGTCATGACGTAGACTCCTACGCAGTGCGGACGTCAGACTCAGCCCGGATGTGACGTGGACACGCAGCAGCCGTGAGTTTTCTTTTTTCTCCCTGTTTTTTTTTAACGTTGTTTTTTGTGTAGCAGAAATATAAATGATAGAACTGAGCTGGAGAAGAAGTGAATGTTCGAATGTTCCAGAACAAAGTTTGTCTGGTTTTTAATTTGTTTTTAATAATGTTGAAAAATGAGCGAAATCTGAAAACAAAGAGCAGCAACAGCCGACACCCCGCGGCTACGGCGCCCCACGCGGGGGTCGGGGCGGGGCCGCCCCCCCCCCCCCCCCCCCCCCTCGACATTTGCTCTGAGCCTCAAGGTGTGTTAGTGTTAGCTGCTGATAGTGCAGCTCTGAGAGGTATTAGTTAAAGTTGCATAATTGCAGAAAAAGTTGCCCCCATGTCAGGAGAGAGAGAGGGTGAGGCAGGGAGAGAGAGGGTCGGGGGAGAGAGGGTGAGGCAGGGAGAGAGAGGGT